ATGATGGTTGATTCAATGTTGTTTCACTCATTTTGTGCTATCTGGGAACCTACGTTAGTACCAGCACAGAATGTACTTTCTAAGTCAACTGTATATTCCTATTGAAACACTTTTCTAAAAAAGTGAATATCAATAACATTAACACACACAATTACATTTAAAATAAACCTAAAACACAAACAACTATAAAAGCAGAGGGAGATATTTTGTCCAACTTCTATCTATTGCATAAAGGAAAAGTCTTGGAAATCAAAATTTTCAGCCACTAAAACGAAAGTTTGAAAAAAATACTCCAAGATAGACAACATTTACGGAAAGTTTTATGAAAATGTCACAGACCTGAGTTGTAAATATCAGCTGAAGCAGCCATTTCGTTAGATTCACTCTGTCAAGGTTTCTGCTTTTTGTTTGTTCCACAAAACTTGTTCCTAAACAAAAGAGAGCAGAGGTTGATGATGTTGTGCATGATGACTTATTGATAAAGTCAAACATGGTCAAAGATCGCCATCTGCTGGGGGACTAGAATCACTGCATTTCTACTGTGACAACCTAAATTGTCATTGTCACATTTTTTGTAATGTGACAATGTGTGTAATGTGTGTAATGTCAACAGCAGTTGACAACAAAAATAAAATACAGAGAAATAAAATAAAATAAATAAATAAATACAAATAAATATTTTACAATAAAACTGAAACTTAAGAAATCGATAAACAAATAGGTTTTTATCAATTAACAGAATAAACCCATTGGGTCAAATTAAAAAAAAGTAAAATTAACATTTACTTATTAGAATAATTTGCACTATCTAATTAAATGGTGAAGCATTACATAGTGATTTTAAATTTTGAAATTTTTGGTCTTCACATGTCAAATGCTTTAATATTCGAAAGTTACTTAAGAGGGATTTTGCCTGTTAATGCAGTTTATCCCGTAATATTAAGGATGTTTACTGCACCTGTATTAGTTTATAATTTACAGTGAATGTAACTCAGTTCCCTTTGACCAAACACTCAATTAGAAACTTTAATTTCAGTTTTTAAGAGCTTGATTCCTGATGTCAGATTTGTTTTTTACATACTTATACTATGTTTGATTACATTTATAAGGAGTGATTTTAAATCAGGAAATTAATGCTTAAAAATGAAAACCTGAAAAAAAATCTTAAATTAGAAAAACTCACTCTCAATACCAGCAGATTAAATAATTGTAGCTCTAAATCTAATCTCAGGAACCCGCAGACAAACCCTTATGGGACTCATATTGACTCTCCTCCTTTCCCTCATATGGGGCCCATCTAGGTATGCTGGCAGGGTTCCCACCATTAATCACAATAAATCATAGCAAATTTGAGCTCCTGCCATCTAGAAAGAGATTCAGTTAGCCCAAAGTAAGAACCAACAGATGGAAAAGCTTTTTTATTACTTATTGTTGTGACAAATGGGATTGCTGTCATTTTAGTCTGTAAGTTTCAATTTGTATTTATTCTGATGTTCTTCCTTGAGATACATTAAAGTTTTTTTTTTACTATTCCCTTTGTTTAACCAGGTAAACCCCATTGAGATCTAGATCTCAGTTTCAAGAGGAACCTGGCCAGAAGTTCCTCTTGAAACTGAGACTTCTGGGACACACAACAACCTTAAATACTAATTAATACATACGCACAAGTTTAAAACAAATACAAAACAATTTAAAAGCAATGACACGTCCTCCTATCAGCACAATCCTCATCTCTGTAGCAGGGCGACTTTGTGCTGTTAGGAGAGCATAAGCCATTATTTGCATGAGGTTTAGAAACACCTACTTTGCTTAGGCAATGCTTTCTAACTCGTATATTACTTTCTGTCATATATACGATTTGGAACATTGAAATAATAAACTAATTATTATTAACATTAATACAACAAAGCAAACAGTACAAAAATAACTATAAAAACATAGGGAACCATTTTGTCCAACTTGAAAGCCAAAGTCTCTGAATTCAACACATTCAGCCACTAAAATAACAATTCAGAAAAATAAAATTTTAAATAGAATCAATATTGACAGTTTTATAAAGTTTCACTGACCTGAGTTGGGAATATCAGCTCAAGCAGCCATTTCTTTAGCTTCACTCTGCCGACGTTTCTGCTTGTTGTTGGTCCCACAAAACCGGTTCCTAAATGAAAGTAAAGATAACAGAGGTGGATGTTGTTCCACTTGATGATTGGTTGGTAAAGTCAGACATAGAGACGGCTGCAAGATGAACACAATGACTGTATTTCTACTGTAACTATCAAAAGCAAATATTTTACAATAAAATGAACAAATCAATAAATAGTTTTATCAATAAAAATAGAATAAAACCCACTGTGTAAAATTAAAAAGAAAATAAATATTTACTCATGAGAAGAAGTTTCTGTCTGATTACACATTGAAATATTTGATTACCTATAGTGATCTGAAGTGAAAATAAAGTGTAAAACAAAAACAAGAAAATAAAATCTGACATTAGTAATCAGATTATGCTAATTGAGCTCCTCCTGTCTTTAAATTTTTGATCAACTTTCTATTCAACCTCTTATAGACCTTTTGTCATTTTTCTGACACATTTGCCACTTTGAATCTGTAAATCAGCAGCGTACATATTTAAAATGTTTACTGAGGATTTTTAAGAATCCTCAGTAAACTATAGTTTGTGTGTTGCAGCACAAACCATAGTTTTAGACTCAGGAATGTTATTGCTCATAGACCTTTTTATGTAAAACTGTTATTAATAGCAGTTCTGTTGCTTTTATGCAATTTCACATTACAGCCTCTCAGGAAACAAAAACAGGATGAAACAAATGATAAAAGTGACCAGCAAAGTTATTGATAGTGAATTAACTAGTATATAATTAAAAGACTTTAAGATAGACAAAAAAATATTTTCTCCCCTCCCTTTATCATCTATCATCTGGAAATGTAGTGTGTAAGTTTCATTTTAGTGTGTAAGTTTCAATTTGTATTTATTTTTACGTTCTTCCTTGAGATGAATTTACATTTTTTAAAATTATTTTTATTCCCTTTGTTTAACCAGGTAAACCTTGTTGAGATCTTTATCTCAGTTTCAAGAGGGATCCGGGCAGAAGTCTGCAACACACAACAACCTTTTTACACAAAAGTAAAACTAATTAATACATATGCACAAGTTTAAAACAAATACAAAAAAATTTTAAGCAATGACACTTCCTCCTATCAGCACAATCCTCATCTCTGTAGCAGGGCGGCTTTGTGCTGTTAGGAGAGCATAAGCCATTATTTGCATGCAGTTTAGAAACACCTACTTTGCTTAGGCAATGTTTTCTAACTCGTATATTACTTTCTGTTGTATGTTGTGTGAATAAAATCATCTACATTAAAAAGCTCTAGGTGTTCCTCCAGCAATAGTTTGAGACACTGAGGTGAATACAAGCCAATGAGAACGACCAGAAAAAAAGACATGAGGTCCTGAAGGTCACAGATGGACACTGTTCTGGATATGGATCTGACCCAGGTGGGTTGGGTTCTCTCTTCTCTACTTCCTGCCTGGACTATCAACAACTGTAACTCGTCTGTCGAGTTCTTCCTGTTATCTCACTGCCTTGTGAGCTTTTCATCTACTGGTGTCAAAAACATTTTGACCCAAGATTATTGAGAAATCAATTTAAACTGATTCCTATAAACACAAATCTGAACTCTGAATCAGGATGATTTTACCCTGTTAAAGGAGGTAAGGTATTATTTGGATTCATCTCACAAACACCTTCCCTATGTATACCAGCAGGAATGGCTTTCCTTTTTAAACTGTACATTTTCTTTGGAACAGTAATACAATAAAAGTAAATATGAAAAACATTTACAGCCCCCCCAACAAAATAAAACAAAAGAAGCTTAGAAAAGCAGAGAGAGCCCTTTTGTCCAACCCCCATCTCTTCTATAAAGTTACAGTTTCTGAATTTAGTACATATTCTATCAGTAAAATAAGAAGTTACAAAAGTATAATCCAAGATAGAATAACTTTTAGGGAGAGATTTATGAAAAGATCACTGACCTCAGCTGGAAGTATCAGGTGAAGCAGCCATTTCAAATGCTTCAGTCTTTAGATGTTTTTGCTTTTTGTTTTCTGCTGAAAACAGGTTTGGTGAGAACAGACCTGGAACAGGTCTGCACGGTTCCAGAAAGTTCATAGTGCGGATGAGGAAGTTACTGGAATTAGTGGAAGTTCAATATAGTCAGAGATCGCCATCTGTTGGAGGCCTGGAAGAACTACAGATCTGGTTACCAAAAACATTAAAACTAAAAATTCAAAGCTAAAGACATTTTTTAAATTGACTTAAAGCATTTGGACTCTTGATCTAAATCCTGAAACCACAGTTTAATATGACAAAAACCAAAGAAGAATATCTACTAAGGACATAATTATCTAAAATATATAAACTGATGTTATTGTAGTTTATTCTGATGCCAAATCTTAATCAACTTTCTCCTAAACACTCTGATAGAATATTTTTCATTTTGCAAAGACACATCAGTTTGCTCATTTGAATTATGAAAGTTGAAGAGTTTGAAAAAAAAATTTAGACCAGGAACCATTGATGTTCATAAGAAATTGTTGTTTATAGCAGTTCTGCTCATCTGTTATGTTTTCAACCATGCATAATGGAAAGGTATGACATATTTTAATAAACCTGAAAGATCAGGTACATTTTTAAAGAGAAGTTCACACTGTTAAAAAAAGTGACCAGAATTCAAAATTTCAAGGCACCAGACTTCAGGAAAAACTTCAGGTCTTCAACTAAGCTTTATAAGTTTTGCTTTTGTCTCTGCCAGTTTTCAGTTCAATACAGTTTTAAAATTATAAGTCTTGCAGTGCTCTCCGGTGACCAAAATGTGCAACAACAGAGTCCAACATAATGAACAGACATGTCTGAGACATACAGATAACAAGCAAAATAGCATAAACAATAAATCAAAATTACTCAGTAACACCGAGTAACACTATTCTCTCAGCACATATCTGCTACACCACTACTTACCTGAAATGTCTTCCAAATTCATTCTACTATTTGGCCGTCTTTTGTGATAACTTGAACAAAAATCAGTAACTAATCTGTTTGATGTGAAGGATATTTCTGTTCATACAGAAAATAAGGTTACAGTTTCCAACTAATCTTTATAAAACAAATAAATATCTAATATCTCGTTAAAAAGAATCAGATTTCCCACAATGTTCTTCCTGAACATTTTTGGCCAACAAGAACAGTCCACATGTCACTGAATGAATGTCTCTCCCTTGTATAAAAAGAAATTTACATGCATGAGTGCATCATAAAAATATCAATTTTTTTTTTACCTTATCCACATATCCACAACCAGCTGTTTCATTACTCTTGATATTCACATTTTTTGCTTAAAACTTTGTTGATGAAGCTTAAAATTGAGTTATTTCCACTGATCATCTTTAAGATGTTTCTACAGATGGAGTCCACCTGTGGTAAATTGGGTTGACTGGACTTGGAAATTCACTCACCTCTATAAATGAGGTCCTACAGTTGATGATGCAGGTCAGAAGTCAAACACCAAAAATGAAATCAAAATGATTCATTGTATGTAGATTTCTGTGACAGGATTGTGTTGAGACTAATTCAGATGTGAATACTTTCCAGACGCACTGTGCAGAGGTGGGATAAAGTTTTTGCTCTCTTCATAATGTCCTTTAGTTTTATGTGTCCTTTTAAGTGTTTCAGATT